AGAAAGCAAGCCACCAGGTCTGGGACTCAAACCGTGGTCAGTCATGTGGGAGTGTCCAGTGCCTTAATCACCACACCATCTGCTGGCCCCCTCAGTTTACTTTTTAAAATTGGATTAGAAAGACCAGTTGCTGGATTCCCACATAGTTGCCCGTGGTTCAAGTCCCGGACCTAGTGGCTTAAAACTCATGCCAAGTGCCTGTGTTTTTGTGCCCAAAATCCCAAGAGGAGAATGGAGGAGAAGGGATTGTGGGTGGCCATCCCCCCGGGGGATGATTTCTTACTTTCTGTCTGTGTCTATCTCTGTCTCTCTTGTGGGTACATGTGCCCTACAGAAAAATCTCTCTCTAAAAGAAAAAAAAAAAAAAAGGATTCAAGCACACACCACAGCCAGTTCAATACAATAGATATTTTCTTTTTTGTTTGTTTTAAAATACATGACAGAGTACATGTGCATGCACAAGAGAGAGAGAGGCACCCTTCACACAGTCTGGTCACACTGTGATCTGCTCTTCTAGTTCTTCAGCCTGTGGGGTCTGGTGTTCTAGCAAGCATGCCCCCTGTGTTTCAGGCTGACCAGGCCTGGGGTTCAAACCGTAGTCTCCATGTGGGATCCAACTTTTCTTGAACAGCTCATTAGCTCTGCCCCACAGAGCTGGCCCAATACCACAGCTGTTTTCTAAGCCTCTGCTCTGTGCCTAACCCACTGTCTGCTCTCCTTTGAGCCTTGCTGACTTGCCAGGATTGACTGAAGGTGGGATTACATGACCAGGTTCTAATGGAAAAGGGTAGAGCAGAGGAGAAGATGCTCTCCCTGGCATTTCAAAGACCTGGAGCGGGTGGTTTGATAGAAAAAAAAGATAGGCACCCAATAACTCTAGGGAAAGTAAAAGGGACACAGGAGAGAGGTGAATGGAATGAAAAGAAGGGAGCAGTCTTTCCCCCTGGAAAGTGCAACAGGGAGAGAAGGGGAGGGAAAGGGCATCTGGTGGAAGTGGTCCCTCTGCAGTGCTTGGAGGTGAGAATGTTTGCTTTGTATTCATTTGTGCCTACTCTGCATCAAGCACATACAGGCCCTGGGATGACATAAAGAGAAGTAAAACAGTCTTAGCACTCCAGCACACAGAGGATAGGCACATAACCAGAACACCACCTGACAGAGAAGTGATTTTGAATGTAGAGGAGTTCATTTGTGGGAAGTAAGTTAAACACCCTTTCCTCTTCCTGCCACAGAAACGCAGACGAAGGGTCCTTCGGGGCTGCTCTGAGTGAGCAGGACTCGGATGCCAGCTTGCCCAATCGTAGCCCACTGATTGCCATTCCAGTCATGGCAGGGTGCTCTTCTCTGTCCCTGCAGGGTCCCCCGAGGAGAGGGAGGCCTTCACGAGGGCCAACCACCTGAACAAGCTGACTGAGAAAGAGGAGAAGGGGGTGGCCATGCGCATCCGTGTGGGCCAGAGCATGGGCGTAGGCAACGACTTCGACGTCTTTGCCCACATCACCAACGACACTGGCGAGGACCACGCCTGCCGCCTCCTGCTGTGTGCCCGCACCGTCAGCTACAACGGGGTCCTGGGGCCTGAGTGCGGCACTAAGGACCTGCTTGATCTTACTCTGGAGCCCTTCTCTGGTAAGGCTCTGGGTTCCTGGAGCATTTATTGATCCCCAGCTGGTGACGTGCTGGATAATGGCCTGAGCATCCAGGAGGCGTGATTGCACTCAGCCACTTACACCTGGCCGGGCCCTGTCCTAAGCACTTTATAAATACCCACCTATTCATTCTTATTTTAAAAGTGAAGGGTGGATTCTATCCTTGTCCCCATTCTCCAACGAGGAAATGGAGGCACAGAGAGGTTTGTTCACTTTCCCAAGGTCACACGGATGGGCAGTGACAGGCCTGAGGTTGGAATCTGTCCTCTCAGCAGCCATCTTGTTTTGCTTCATCTCATTTTCACGGGGCCCCTGACTACTTTCCTCTGCTGCCCTCTCCCAGCTAACCCCTTGCCTCCGTCTCCAGCTCCCCTCATGCCTCTGTAGCCTCTCCTCCCTGCCCCTTTGAGAATCTCTCCTGTTCTGAGTGCTCTCAGACTCAGAGAGGAGACCCTGAATAGATGCCACCCTTGGAACTTTCTGCAATGACACGGATGTCCTGTGTCTGTGCTGTCCGGCAAGGTGGCCACTAGCTCTGGGTGGCCCCTGAGCACTTGAACTGTGGCTGTGCAGCTCCAGGCCTACGTTTCTAACTGTGCTTAATTTGAAGTAGGTAACGCCTGAGGCCAGAAGCTGCCATACTGGACAGGGGTGTGGTAGCAACAGGAGAGGGGACCGTGCAGGCCTTAGGAAAGTGTCTCCTCCTGCCTCAGTGGGCTCCTCTTGAGTGCTCAGCCCTGGGCTTGGCCACCCACTAGGTAAGCCCTTCCCTGGGGAACAATCTCTTTGCACAGCCCTCAGCCCCAGGCAAAACCTTGTGTCACTCAAGCTTCCAGGACAGATGCCTGCGCCTAAATTGTTGTCCCCTGGGTTCCTGTTGTGGCCTTTGACACTCCCTGGTTATCTTTCTGAAAGTAAGCCTGAGGCCTTGAGAAGGACTGCAGTCACAGAGGTCCTATAGTGAGGCAGCTGCAGAAATGGGATGAGTCCAGCTCAAACTCCTTCCCCAGCAGGATGCCAGCTCCCCTCTAGAGCCCTGCAGGCACTAAAGAGGAGGGCGGAGCTGGGGAAGGAGCAGGAGCCACAGAGTAGGACACTGCCCTCCTCTGAGGCAGTGTGATCCTTCACAACCTCATGCCTGGGCCCCAAGAGGAGGGTCCCACACCTCTGGGCCTCTGAGAGGAGGTCCCGCTCTCCTGTACCTCCTCGCCCTGTCAGGCACATAGGGTCTTGATACAGCAGTGTAGGGCTGTCTAGGAGTCAGAGGTCATGCACACAGTGGACATTCGATACCCAGAGCTCGTGTGATTGTGCCCAGAGACGGTGGAGACCCCAGGGTGGGCAGATGGGCATTGTGTTTCCAAGTCTCTTGCTCTTCCTGCCCCCTACTCTGGCCTGGACAACCAGTCTTGTTTCTCTGCTTTGACCCTTGACCCAGGGACTGCCTTGTGGAACACAGCCTTCAGATTCCTAAGAGAGCTGGTCTGTGTTTGAGGCTGAGAGTCTGGTTAGAACTGCCATGTCCTTTTTTTTTTTTTTTTTAAATTTGGCCCCCCCCCCCCCCATGCCCCCCCTGGGCTCGGTCCCCCAA